ATTTAGTAGTAAGGGAGTGCAGGAATCTTTGTGTAATAGTGACACTTGACAGTGCTGAAACAATTGTGGTACATAGCTGGTACCTGTGTCAGGCTTTTGATAGCATGGATTATTTTTGTAGCATTTTCTCTTTTTTTCATTTGCTTGAAGAATGCGCATGAACTTCCTTCCAGTCCCATTGTAGTCATCAGCTTACCACATGCCCTGTAAGTTTATTAAAAACAAGATGGCTGCTACTTGTTTTCAAATGCACTGTAACAGAAACAAAAATAGCCCTATGACAAAAATGGGAAAACAATGTATTCTTACTTTTCTTCAGTTGGGTGCAAAATTCCAGTAGGCCATATTGCTACTTCCAGTATTCCAGACACAGATTAAGGGTGGTTGTTACAGAAAAGTTTGCAAGCACGTGAACTTCTCAGGGCAAGACACAGGTCTCTCCTGAGACCCCACAGTGATATTTGTCACTGTAATCTGGGGAACCTAGTAACAAGTTAATGATGGGATGTTTTCCAGTAATGCAGCAGCAACCTCTGTCATTGTTGTACTTGCACTGTGCCAAAAGGGGTGGCAGTGGCTTTGGGAAGAACTGCCACTCAATCTGACATACAGTTATGTAGCACAGGCTTTTTCCCAAAGAGAACTTCCTTCATTTAAAAAAAATAGTAATATGTCTACTTTTCTGCCCTTAGTCGTTTTGTCGGGGCTCAATTCCTGACTCTGGCACTCCAAGGCTGTGTCTACATTGGCACCCTTTTCTGGAAAAGGGATGCTAATGAGACACTTCGGAATTGCAAATGCCCCAGGGATTTAAATTTTCCCCACGGCATTTGCATGAACCTGGCTGCCGCTTTTTTCCGGCTCGGGGCTTTGCCGGAGAAAAGTGCCAGTCTAGACAGGTATCTTTCGGAAAATAAAGCCTTTTCCGGAAGATCCCTTATTCCTGATTTTAAGTAGGTCTCATTAGCATCCCTTTTCTGGAAAAGGGTGCCAATGTAGACTCAGCCCAAGTGCAGAAGATGGGGCCCCACAAAGACTTTAAATATACCTTGCCACTACAGGCACTGGTTACAAAAACTTCCCCAGAGTCACAGATACACTTGCTCTGAGAAATAACCAAAAAAGCTGCCACTGCCAAGTGAAACAACCTCCTTCCGTCTTGAACCTAGGAAGAAAGTACTTGGACTTCCCTTCCTCAGAGGTACCCCAAGCTCCTCTGCTACAAGAGAGCTTGAAAAAATAGAGGAAAAACAAGCTGCGGTCTTTGTTAGCTGACCCCTCAGTCTGAGATATGCAGACACACACAGACAGACAGACCTCTTGTACTTTCCTGGACACAAGAATGAAATGATCACCTTCATGTTACATAGCAACTAATGAAAACAAAACAAAACAGAGATGATTTCTGGGAACAATGCTTAGATGGTAAATGGGAAGGGGAGGTATAGATTCACACAGAGCAGTTCAAACTATACCACAAAATTAAAGAAAAATACCCTGATCATGACTAGATTCACTTTCCCTCCCCCTTTTATTTACTCTCAAACTCCTTTTTATTCACTCCGCTTCCATGCCCCGAATTCCTTGGAGGCATGGTAGTCCTGTCTGGGTTTAAATCATTCTGTGTCTCAACTCCTGGTTTCTCTCCCACACAAAGAAACAGGCAAGGTATCTATGTCAAATTCAAATTTCAGCTGTCTATTTCGATTGGTTCTCCTGGTCCCCGGGCCAACAGCCTTGCTAGCTACCCGAGTTTGACCCCTTAGTCGCCAGATGCTGGTCAGCACCCCTCCTATCCATTACAGGTGCACAAAAGAAATCCCAGAGGCCTCATTCAGATTCGGTGTATTTAGAATCTGTTAATTACTGTACCTACCCTTTGCCCTACAAAGTCCTGGTTCTGTTTCTTATAGAGGCAAAACTGACTTCAGTTTTAGGATATTTTGGGTAATGATGTCGTTAACAGGCTTCTGAGCCTCATCTGTCCCATTTTAACCAAATCCATATTTTAAAGTCAACGGTCCTGTCAGAATCTGATCAAGATGGAAGTATGGGTGAAAATGCGCTGTTACCCCAGAAAAGGAAAAGTGATGTTTTTTGTTGGGGAGAAAGATCATCACATAAGAGGAATGATGGTGCTACCTACGTGTTGAGACCATGAGCTCTTAAACCTCTCTTTCTTGACCTGTCTCTAAATGTGATGTACAAAAGAGAGTAACATTTATAAATATTTTTCTAGGATTATTATAACTTGAACCATTTTTTTTAAAGCTTTCTGTTTCTTGCTTTGTTTACAGGTAGAGGGATAACAGTTTCAGTACAATTATTTTTCTGCTTGAGCAAGTCAGCTTCTAATGGGTTCTGACATCAAAGACCATAAACACTTGACGTGAAGATTTTGTATAATGTTAGTTGTGCTTGAAGCTCAGATACACAGGGATGGTGTGGAATAACTATAGACCAGTCAATCAAAATATAAATATATTTGAATATTCTGTGTTTGAATATCCTTTGGGGGAGAGGTTATGCCGATCACCAAATGGGCATGTAGTATTTTTTCAGGTTTATCAGGTTTCCTTTGGCATTAATTAGCTTGTGTTAGAGCAGGGGCAGACCAGATACAGGCTGGATCTGGCAGCTTCCATACTGGGACTGTCAGGCACAGAGCAGCCAGCTGCTTCAGAGCAGCCCCATACCGCTTTAAGCTTCTGACTGCTCCCTGTGGCTCTCTGCTCCAGGCGTGGGGAGTGGGAGGCTTCATGCACTGCCCCTACTCCCAGCAAAATCCCTACTCCCAGCAACATTGCTCAGCTCCTGTTGATTGAAAACTAGCCAATAGGAGCTGAGATTTTGCTGGGAGGTACCTGGAACAGAGAGCCACAGGGAGCAGCCAGCCATTTTGAGCAGCCTTGGGATACGGATCCTGCCTTGGGATCCTGCAGGGCTGCTGGCCAGGAGCCACCTAGGTAAGAACCTCTTAGCCAGAGCCTGCTTCTGGTACCCCAGCCCCTCCCTCTCCCCCCCACCCTCGTGACCTGGAGGAGGGGGCAGGGAGGTGAAAACTCCCTCCCAAGCCTTGCATCTCCTCCTACACCCCTTCCTCAAGCCATAATCCTTCCTTGCACCCATACTCCCTCCTTGACCCTGCACCTCAATCACCTGCCCCAGGTCACAATTCCCTCCTTCACCAGAACTTCCTCTCAGACCCCACATCCTCTCCTGTACCGTAGTCCCCGGACCCCAAGCTCCCTTCTGCACCTAAACTCCATCCCAGACACCACACTCCCTCCATAGAGAAGTGCATCCCTTGATCACTTTCCAAATCTTGGAGTGGCACCCCCCATCAAAAATTATTGCACACCCCTTTGCTAGACCAAACTTGTATTGGTGAAGTGTCACTGGACTGCACTCTTTAGTGGTTAAACATTTCTGGAATAGATCTAATATACAAATGGTGGACATTCTTTGTAGGGCTAGGGTTCCCACTCTTCCCAACAATCTCTTTGCATTACACCGGTAGGGTCCTCCAGGGCGGGATCAGGGCCTTACTTTACATTAGACAGCAACTGGAAGGAATGGAGGGCACCAAGCAATGCTTAATATGTAAATAAATGTTTTATAATTATGTTCTTCCAACTTCTCAAAAGCTAGGTAATCTAGAACTCCTGTGGATTGTTAGGAGGCAGGGCTGTTGATTTTAAATATCTTTCTATTTCAGATAGGGCAACAAAACTGTCCTAGCCTTAAAATTACAGCATTGTTGTATAATGTATTCAAATGACTCACATCAAGTAGGGCTGTGACAAAATAAACAGCGTTACTCAGAGAAACAGACTATTAATACTGAGCCCATGAGTGAAGAAGGCAAGGAGTCATTAGCCACATTGTAACGAAAGAGGGGCCGAGTAACATGACTTGGATTACGAGTTCTAGCACTCAAGTCTTGAGCACCTGCTTTTCTGGCTTGCACATTTTCGAGTCCTTTAACTAGTCCCAAGCAGATGTAATATTCTAAAGTGGTATCAATGACTCTGCAAGGTAATGGAGGACCAGATTCTGGATTTTAGATTCAAATTCAGTCGAATTCTGTTGCTTGTATAAAGTAGTAAGTATTTGAACATTCAGCATCATTCATTCTGATAGTTAGTTTTTACATTATAAAAACAGCTTTCAGTTTTTAGTTGACACCAGTTCACTTCTATTCAAAAGTCAGATACAATTATGGGGCTTGTCTCCTATAAAAGATCACCTTTTAAGGAGGAAAGGAGGTAGATTTGGCAAAAAAAAATTGGTGGAATTTTGAAGTTTTCATGATAAAAATAGCTGAGATTGAAACTTTAAAGTTGGCTTGTTTTTGCAGCCTAAGTGAAGAGGGAGAGTTGAAGATCTAAAAAAAAATTAAAAAGACCAAACTGAAATTATGAGCATTTAACTTGTATGTGCACAGGAATATGTCTGCTTAATTTTACATGCTTTTGGTGTAGAAGTCAACTTTAATGTAGCCATCAGATCTGAAAAGTAAGCCTGTTGTTGCCTACATTGTTGCTATAAACCTCTCTGCTTCCAACAGTGTTGGGCTAAACCTGTAAGAGATGTTCATCGCCATGGTAACTTGTACATTCTCACTTGTAAGGATTTATTTATAATGTTTGCGTGTGTGCAAAAGTATATAAATTGTCTCCCTCATCTCTCTCTTCAGGTACACTTTGTGCTTCTGTAGCACTGTCTCTCCAAGTAGCCAATAGGTGTTCACAAATTTTAATAACTTGAATCATGCATTACTTCTGAGGTACATATGTTATCCCTACACTCCAGAGTTTACTTTCCCCAAGTTGCCCAAGTGTATGGCAGTTCTCCTGATTTCTGGCTGTGTGCTGTTGCCTTAATACCATTGTTCCCTTTTCATAGAAGATTCAGTTCCCCAGGACAGATCATACTGAGGCAGAAATACTTCTATTGTTTGCATTATACTAACACATGGCATCTCTTTGTTTTCCTAGACATCAGAAATGGATTGTGGTGATCCTCCTAAGAGAAACAAAATGCAAGAATCTGCCAGGAATCAGCAAGAGGAGGAGACAAGTCTTGCAGACACCTTAGAGCATATTGTTGGGCAGTTAGATGTTCTTACTCAGGTATGAAGTATTTATAGGCTCATGGTAATAGCCATGTCATCAAATGAAATACAGACTTTAAATTATGGATCCTTTAAAGCAGTGGTCACCAACCAGTAGATTTGAAATCTACTGGTAGATCTTGGAGCCTCTGGCAGGTGATCTGATGGGTTTGGCTGGGAAGCTATTAAGCGCTGGCACTTCAATTCCCCCTCCACCCACTGCCATGCTGCTCCTGCCCTCTGCCTTGGAACATCTCCCCTACCCCGGGAGCCTCCTGCTTGCAGAGCAGGGTGTGGGAGGGAGAAGGGGGGCATTGATGTCAGGGTGTCGCTTATCCCCCCATTTCTGTACCCTCTCTCCAGTGCAGGACAAATCAGTGGCCTTCAAAATTTTTGAGTTGGGGCTAAAGAAATATGGAGACATTCCAGAATATGTACTGGCGTACATTGACTATCTGTCTCACCTTAATGGTAAGCTTTGGGAACTGGGAAAGCTTACTAATGGAACATTAACCCTCTTTCTCTGTGAGTTTGGCCTCATTTCATCATTTTCGTTTTTTTACGCTTAAATGTAATTCTTTGGGCAGTGAGTTCTAACATGCCTACCCTGTCATGGCTGGAGTCATTATCTCTGTGGTAATTACTGCCTCTGGAAGTGGCTGGCATGTCCCTGCAGCTCCTGAGACGGGCAGGGGGTCTCCACACGCTGTCTTTGCCTGCAGATACTGCTCCTGTGGCTCCCATTGATCTGTAATGGGGACCAATTGCCAGTTAGAAGCTGTGGGCTCGGTGCCTGTAGATGAAGGGCAGCACATGGCACCATGGATCCATTGCTGTCCATGTCAGCTGCTTTCAGGAGTGGTGCAGGGCCAGGGCAGAGGTAAGCCTGCTTTAACCCCACTGCTCCATTACCTGGAAGCAGTCTCGGTTAAATGCTGCCCAGCCAGAGCCTGCTTCCCGAACCCCTGTCCCAGCCCTGAACCTCCTCCTGCCTCAGACATGAGTCCCCCTGCACACAAACTCCTTCCAAGAGCTTGCACCCTGTAACCCCTCCTGGACCCCAACTCCCTGCCTTGGGGTAAGCCTGGAGACCCCCCCCACACACACACACTTCAAACCCATTGGCTCAAGACTAGAGCCTGTACCCCAACCCCTACTCCAGCTTGGTGAAAGTGAGAATGGAGGAGGATGTAGTAAGCAGGATGAGGCCTTGGAGAAGGGGTAGAGCAGGGACAGGGCCTCAAAGAAGGGGCAAGAAGGAAATGGGGCAATGGTATTTGGGTTTGAGGTAGATCTTACATTGCACTTAAATACAAAAATGATCTTGTTAAAAAGGTTGGAGACCACTTTTTAAATTAAAAATGTGAATAGTCTCAAACTTATCTTTTTTTTCAGAAGCTTATTGGTAAATCACGTTAGAACGACGGAAAATGTCAGATTTCTGGATAATCTAAAAAATTGTCACAATATCCTTAAAATGCTATTTTTGATAAGTATTGGACATAAGTTTACAGTCCACAACACCTGTCACTTAAATACAATCCCATCTCATCTACTAACTATTATCTTGCTTCAGAGTGAAACACGCACTGCTGCTGCTATCAGCATTTACAGCAGTGTTTCTTAAACTTTTTAAGATGGAGGAACACCAAACAATAATTTTTTTTGAGCAACACCAAGGACTTTTTGTTGAGCAAAAAAAAAAAAAAAGGTTGGGGGGAGGAGGAAAAGTCGCCTGTCCCTTCAAAGGTGGCCATTTTGAACTGTGTTGTTCTCCGTGGCACACCGGTGTACCACAGAACACAGTTTAAGAAACATTGATTTACGGTCTATGTATTGTGCCACATCCCACTGACAGAGCAAAGTTAGGCCAATGCTGATGGTTTTTCAAAATCCCACCTTTATTTTTTTTAATCCTCTTTCTGAAGCTAGCGTTACTTTTCTTGGGAGTTATTGAAGCTCATAGAGAATAATATAGGGGGTACCGTAACAGATCTAGATGATTCTATTAAAATGTCTGCCAGCAGTAGCCTTTTGCAGCAATCAATTCTTGGTCCTTTATATAAGTGCTTTACTTTCAAAGCCCTACACAATGTAAATTTGCAATGGTTACAAATCAGATACTAAAATTTCTATGAATTCACAGAATTAAATGTCTTCGTGTCCGTTAAGCTGTCCTCCACAAGTGTGTGAGCCTGCATGGATCATCATAGGGATCTAACAACTGTTTTTATTAGCCTACTGTTGTCTAGTAATAAGGAACTGTGTGCATTCAATTCATATTTAAATAAATGGTCTGAGATTCTACATATAATGTTCTGCAGTTTAGGGAGTGCATCACTATCTTTTATTAAGAGAATGAATAACTTTATCTTTCTAGATCCTCGGCCTGTGAAATCTCTGCTGTTCCGTTGTCTCCTCCCCTACTCAAATCCTATTTTTTTCCTGACTTTCCTTCAAATTCTGCCATGTTCACCAACAGCTGTCCTGTTTCTCCTCACCAGACATCTCCCAAGCTCACGTCTGTGTCCCACCATAGCCCTTTCTTCTCTTCTTGTTTTTTTTATTTAAAATATTTTGTCATAAACACATCTCATCCACAGCATGACTCCTGCCTCTAGTAATTCAACACACCTCTTTAATTCAAATCACAATGCTTAACCGTTGAAAACAGGTTTACACACCACTCTTATTTATCGTTTCATTTAAATAAAACTACTTGAAAGATTATAGATACCAGCTTCCTAAAATGGTAAACAATTTACACACAGTCCCAGCCATGAACACACAATATGCATAAATCCAGCTCAGAACATAACCAGCACATGAACACACAATATGCATAAATCCAGCTCAGAACAATAAAACATAACCAGTAAAAATCAATACCATCTTCAACAAAATACCAATTCATCAGTGCAGTTAAAAAATTATAATTTCCATGTGGTCTGGTAAGATTAAACACTGTATGTGGTGGTGCAGAGACAAGGCATGTACTTTAGGGCGGTAGATGTTGATGGCATAATACAAAAAAGACCAATTTGTAGTTGGGATTTGGAAAAGCTGAATGAGAAGATTTTAACAAGTAGCTTTGTGGTGATAATTAATGATTATATTTGTGGTATGATTATTCAAGTGCACATAGCTGTTCTTTAATTTAAAGATTTTTTCTTTTTTTTTCTTGTATGAGGGAGAATGTATAATCATTTGTATAAATGGAATTGATTGGTCTCCCTCATTTTCTCATATTTTATAAAAATTCCTTCCCTTTTCATAGAATGAAGAAGAATCTGAATGTATCCTATCACAAACACTAATTCTCATTCCAACTCAGTCTTCTACTCGTGAGGAACAGATTGAACGTTATTGAAAAGTGTGGAGGTTGGGGTGGATCGCTCAGAATAGTGCTAGTTTTATATAAATGTGTTGAATCTTGGACTGTTTCATCTTTAGTAGAAACAGTGAGGTGAACCGAACCCTCCCTCCCCCCCAAAAAATTTCAAAATAACTCTAATGCTAGTCAGTAAAAACACAACAGAGTGCTTTTAAATCCTACCACTGATCTGTTTCAAACAGTTCTGGTTAGCATCTCAGATTTTGTACACAAACCACTGGCCTCCATTTTATTGATACAATATTTATGTCCATCACCAGTAGGATTTAAATTCATTCCTTACCTTTCATTATGTAATTCTGATCCACAATTCTCATTGTTGTGTAATGGGCTACATTTCTACTCAACAGATGTTTTATAGGAGGAAAAACACTGCAGTAAACAGTATATATGCAGGGTCTTAAAACAGATATATGCAGTACAACCATACCTTTTTCAGAGATTCAGTACCTTTAGAAATTCCAAATGTTATTTTAGACTTAGCAAAGAGAGAGAGAGAGGAGTGGAGGAGGAATAAATTAGAATATTATAGGATAAAGATGGAAATGAAGTCTGAAAAGATGGCAAAAATAGCAGCATTTAGGGGAAAGCTTTTTCCTAGCTGTATCTAAACCAGAATAACACTAAAATAATTCAGTTATTCAGTTTTAATTTTTTAATCCTTTAACATTGTGTCCTTGGGTGCACCTAGTTTAGTTATGAGAGGATAAATATGTGCACACCTGTATTAAGCAATTCCACAATGCTGTAAGCACTGTGGTGGTATTGTACCCTTTGGATTATGAGACTTTGGCTGAGTTGGAGAGACAACATGCAGCTAGGACTTCAGAATGCTGCAGGGTGGGAGGACCAGTAGAAACCATGCTTTTGTTAGTGTTAACGGAGCCATGTGTAGAGAACAGGAGACTGGAGGGGGTCAGAAGGGACTGAATTTGTGCTTCTTTGGCATGCCTGGCTCCACAGGATTGTGAACCATTGTCCTTGCAGCTCTGGAGGGCATAACTAGCCATGTTGTGAGGTTAAATTTACTGAGGCTTGGGTCCTAGATCATCACTAGCCTTCTGTATCTGTGCCAGGGTGTAATGTGTCACCTCTCTCATACAAGCTACATGGGGAAGGAGGCTCTGCCAAGCCACTGCTGCTGCTTTCACACTGGTGGCTGGGGACTGGAGGAGGCTGGGTGGCCAGGTGGAGACTAATGATAAATACAGTCCTGAGACAATGCCCTCTCCCCCGTTCAAGAAGAAACTGAGAACCAGACTGTGACTGAGTGAGTTTTCTTCCTGAGCTGCTCCATCTGTGTGCTGCCCATTGGCCAGTGAAGTGCTTGTTTACCCCTTAACTGGTGTTGCATGTTTGAATTCAGATTCTAGAAATAAGAGTGACTCTCTCTAAAACACATACATGAAATGCAGACACAAGTAGTTCTTAGTCTGGTGTTTCCATAAAAGAAAGGTGTACAAAAGGTCTATTTGGAAAAAGAACAGGAGTGTATTAGCTTTCTCTTACTGGTATCTTTTCAATGACCCATTTAATTAATATTCCTCAATAGCACCAATTAGGAAAGCTGTACTTGTAAACAGAATCATACCGTTAAAAAAACGAGTCAGATTTCCACGTGCTGTATATTTGTACTTCTGTCTTACTGTTCCCAGGCATTTTAATTGCTTAGCATTGAGGAATGTTAGTACATTTCTAATGTATTATCTTGAGGAGGTTGAAATAAAACTGTGATCATGATGTTCTTTTGTTCTCATTGAAGTTACTCAGCTCTAACCTTTTAATTAGCATAATGTGGAGAACACATTGTGGTTGTGATAAACTTCTTTGGGAAATTATGCAAACTTCACACTGATCTATTAATTTCCTAGTGTCTCTTTTTACTTAACCCATCGCTTAAGTGGTTTAGAATGTTAAACCCTAAATAGTACTTTTAAGGAAGGAGAAAAGATGATTTTTCGCAACTTTGCAATGCTGAGAGATCATTAGTACCAGGGAATCTGTGTGCTGAAAGTTGAGAACTGTACTGCTGCCAATGCACAGTTCTTTGTTCCACGTTGCAAATTTGTGAAGTTAGATTCTTTGCTCGCCACTTGTCAGTATCTTCCTGACACTGAGTGCAGCTGTAAAGTGGAGTGCTGTCTGCTTATGAGACAGCAGGACTGTTTTGATTCCACTGAGAGGCCTATTTCTGCCAGATGCCAGGTGGAAGTAGAGGTGATGAAGCTGTAGAGGCGCTATGGCATGTCCAGCTGGACATACTGATGCTTCTTCAGTGAAGCAAGTCAGCTCACTATAGAAAGCTGTATCAGAAGGGACTAGTAGCTATGACACACTGGGTAAATTTGATGTAGGTATTGTCATGATGACAGTTGGTGTTATGCCTGGTAGCAGCATGTCTTACTCTTGGTTTGTGCAAATGGTTTTCACCAGTGTTATATTTTTCTACTTGAGAGTAAAAGTTACTCATTTTCCTTTGTTTACTTTGTAAATTCAGGGGTCTTAATGTGACATGTAAACCATATTAACTAGAAATCACTTTTCATTTTGATTTACTTTGCAAATATTTTATTTTGCAAACACCTTAAATCTGAACATTAGCATAGATTTGACTTGCAAAGATAATAAGTTAAAAGCTCAAAGTTTCATTTTCTTGAGGAGCAGCATGAAATTCATCTCTGTGCTAGTCTAAGAAATGGGCTAACTGTAAGGAAGCAGCAGTTCATTCAATGAGTATGTAGATGCTGCATTTCATAGAATCATAGAACACTAGAACTGGAAGGGACCTCGAGAGGTCATCGAGTCCAGTCCCCTGCCCTTAAGGCAGGACCCAGTACTGTCTAGACCATCGCTGATAGACATTTGTCTAACCAGCTCTTAAATATCTCTAGAGATGGAGATTCAACAACCTCCCTACGCAACTTATTCCAGTGTTTCACCACCCTGACAGCTAGGAAGTTAGGCGACCAGGGACTGTTAAGAACAGGGGCAGCTAACAGGGAGTTTCGAGAGGGAGCTTTCTAGGGGAGTTGGAAGGGAGAGGTACACTTGCCATTCTATTAAACTTTTAAACTAAACTAAAAATCAAACTTCCTGATTTAAATAAGAACTCTCTCAATAACGTTGGTAGCTGTAGGAGAGACTGAGAGTGGGGAATTCGATCATTAGAAACATAGAGAGCTGGCTTTGTGATGACTGGGAGAACCATATGGTGACTTGCCTGTCTGGTGTGAAAGTTGCGGATCTCTCGAGACATCTAGATAGATTTATGTGTAGTGCTGGGGAGGAGCCAGTGGTCGTGGTACATGTTGGTACCAATGACATAGGGAAAGGTAGGACAGAGGTTCTGGAGGTCAAATTTAGGCTGCTAGGAAAGAGATTGAAATCCAGGACTTCTATGGTAGTGTTCTCTGAAATGCTTCCAGTTCCATGCGCAGGGTCGGGAAGGCAGGCAGAACTTCAGAATCTCAATGCGTGGATGAGACAATGGTGTAGAGAGGAGGGGTTTAGATTTATTAGGATCTGGGGAAACTTTGGGAATAGGGGGAGCCTATACAGGAAGGATGGGCTCCACCTAAGCCAAAATGGAACCAGATTGCTGGCGCTTAACATGAAAAAGGTTGTAGAGGAGCTTTTAAACTAAGGGGTGGGGAAAGCCGACAGGTGTGCAGGAGCACATGGATCGCACAGAGCCAGCTCTTACGGGAGGTTCATTAATAGAGATGCTCTATGTTCTAGTCAGGAGGAGAGGACGGAAGTATGGGTGGGATCAGATGAGACAATCAAATGAAAGAGTCTAATACATCAAGAAATGGCAGACCGATAAATAGTGACAAATTACTGAAGTGCTTATACACAAATGCTAGAAGGCTAAATAGTAAAATGGGTGAACTTGAGTGCCTAGTTTTAAAGGAGGAAATTGATATAATAGGCATCACAGAAACTTGGTGAAATGAGGACAATCAATGGTACTGTCAAAGCTGTTCCCCACTCTAGCACAATAAATGCAGAAGTGGGGACCCGCAAAAGCACCCCAAACCTGATCTCTGCAGTCTTTGGTACAAAAATTCCTCCCCCCCCTCCAATCCTAATACAGGCAGTCCCCGGGTTACATGGATCCGACTTACATCGGATCCCTACTTACAAACGGGGTGAGGCAACCCCGCACTAGCTGCTTCCCCCCAGCAGACCAGGGAGACGTGAAGCTAGTGCCCCCCCCAGCAGACCAGGGAGACGCGGAGCGGCTTTTCTCAGCAGACACCTCAGCTTGAGAATAAAGGACTGAGGGAAGTGAGGTGTGGGAGAATAAAACTGAGCTCTGGAGAAATGTTTGGCTATATTTTTACATACAATATGTACCAGTTCCGACTTGCATACAAATTCAACTTAAGAACAAACCTACAGTCCCTATCTTGTACGTAACCCGGGGACTGCCTGTACCCAGATTTTGGGGAATATCCAGTGACACCACCGAAGTATTCCAAGAAAACCAGGGAAGAGATCACTTGGGAAACCTCCTCCCTAAAATCTCAGGGGTACCTCAAGCTCTTTTCCCCCCAAAAAAGCTTGAAAAAGAAAAGAGAAAATAAGCTGCAGTCTGTTGTAGCTGTCCCCTCGTCAGAGGCATGCAGATACCCACAGCTAGATTTTCCAGGACATAGAGATGAGCCAAAACCAGGTTAATAAAAAAAAGCAAACGTTTATCATCAAAACCAAATTATAGTTGCCAGCATTGTGACTAGATGGAAAAGAGCCATCAATTAATCTAGATACTCAGGGGAATCCCCTGGGCTCAGGACTTTAAGTACAAAAGGAAAACACTTTTAAAAGGAAAAGGAAAAAAATTACATTTTGAACAGCGGAGACATCAATTCCACATTCCCAAACCAGAAAACAATAAAACCTGATGGGTAATCTAGACTTTGCCCTGTTTACACATATAAGAAGTCGATTCTTGGGAGAGAGACAGGCCTTCCCATTTCCCTGTTACATGGAAGAAACCGCTCTGACTCAGACAAGGTGGGACAAGTTTAAAAATTCCCTTGTCCCAGTTTGAAAGCCGTACCTACATTACAATTGGCTGACCAGATACCTGGTTTGAGCCAGGAGCCATAGTTAACCCCTTAATTCCCAGATGCTAGCCATCTCTCATGGTTATGACAGGGACACAGTCATACCAGGATACAAAATATGTCAGAAGGACAGAACAGGTCGTGCTGGTGGGGGAGTGGCACTGTACGTGAAAGAAAATGTAGAATCAAATGAAGGAAAAATCTCAAATGAGCCAAAAAGTTCCATAGAATCTCTATGGATAGTAATTCTGTGCTCCAATAATAAGAATACAGTGAACCCTCGTTTATCGCGGTAGATAGGTTCCAAACCCGACCGCGATAGCTGAAAATCCGCGAAGTAGGCTTTGAAAGCTGAATAGTGGGGGATTTCAGCTATTCCCATATTGACTGGGTACACATCACCTCAGGATGGGATGCAGAGATAAAATTTCTTGATACCTTAAATGACTGCTTCTTGGAGAAGCTGGTTCTGGAACCCACAAGGGGAGAGGTTTTTCTTATTTGAATTTGTCATTCAGGCTTTTAGATTTTACTCACTTCATTTTTTTTAATAGTAACAAAACAAGTTAAAATGATTTATCGGACTTTGTGAAAAGGAATTTAATAAAATTATGCCATTAGGCTGTTTACAGATGCTTTCTAATCAGACTTTTTTTCTTTCTATTATTTTTTTTAAAGAGACACCACACACTTGGAGATTGAACCTTTCACACTTCTTGGCGTCTGTGCTGGGCTTATTCCATATCCTCACCATAACCAGTCCCCAAGAAACACATACCAGTGTGCTATGGGGAAGCAGGCAATGGGTAAGATTGGAATGTTGTAATTTTACAAACCACATAACCTAAAATACTAAAAATATTCTTGTCTCCTAGATCAAAATCCTAGTGGGAAAAATAGAAAGGACCATACAGTTTGTCAAATGAAGTGTAAAAATATAATAAGAAAAGCCAAAAAGGAGTTTGAAGAACAGCTAGCCAAAACCTCAAAAAGTAATAGAAAAATTTTACTAGGTACATCAGAAGCAGGAAGCCCACTAAACTAGTGGGGCCCCTGGACAATCGAGATGCAAAAGGAGCACTCAAAGATGATAAAATCATAGCGGAGAAGCTAAATGAATTCTTTGCTTCAGTCTTCACAGCTGAGGATATGGGGGAAGGATATTGGGGAGATTCCCAAACTTGAGCCATTTTTTAGGTGACAAATCTGAGGAATTGTCCCAGATTGAGGTGTCATTAGAGGAGGATTTGGAACAAACAGATAAACTTAACAGTAACAAGTCACCGGGACCAGATGGTATTCACCCAAGAGTTCTGAAAGAACTCAAATGGAAAATTACAGATCTATTACCTATCCTTTAAATCACCTTCCATACCTAATGACTGGAAGAAGCTAACATGATGCCAATATTTAAAAAGGGCTCTAGAAGTGATCCTGGCAATTACAGGCCGGTAAGTCTAACATCAGTACAAGACAAATTAGTTGAAACTATAGTAAAGAATGAAATTGTCAGACATATGGATGAATATAATTTGAGGGAAAGTCAACATGGTTTCTGTAAAGGGAAATCATGCCTTACTAATCTGCTAGATTACGTCTAGACTGCAAGCCTCTTTCGAAAAGGAACGTCTTGACTAAAACCAGTACTTTCGAAAAAGCAAGCCGCTTTTTCGAAAGTGAGCACCCAGGCAGTCTGGATGTTCTCTTTCGAAAAAACACAGTCTGCATTACATAGCGCCTTTTTTCGAAAGAGCATTTTCAAAAAAAGGCATTCTTCCTCATAAAATGAGATTTTCTGCAGTTGAAAAATTTGCTGTGTTCTTTAGATTTACTTTCGAAAGAATGCGGCAGCAGTCTAGATGCAGGGGAAGGTTTTTTTTCGAAAAAAGGCTACTTTTTTCCGAAAAAAACTCTGTAGTCTAGACACACCGCTAGAGTTCTTTGAGGGGGTCAACAAACATGTGGACAAGGAGAGATCCAGTGGATATAGTATACTTAGATTTTCAGAAAGACTTTGACAAGGTCCCTCATCAAAGGCTCTTAAATAAAGTAAGTTGTCATGGGATAAGAAAGAATGTCCTTTCGTGGATTGATAAATGCTTAAAAGACAGGAAACAAAGGGTAGGAATAAATAGTCAGTTTTCTGAGTGGAGAGAAGTAACTATTGGGGTTCTCCAAGGGTCTGTCCTGGGACGCATCCTATTCAACTTATTTATAAATGATCTAGAGAAAGAGGTAAACAGTGAGGTGGCAAAATTTGCAGATGATACCGGACTGCTCAAGATAGTTAAGACCAAAGCAGACTGTGAAGAGCTTCAGAAAGATCTCACCAAACTAAGTGATTGGGCAACAAAATGGCAAATGAAATTTAATATTGATAAATGTAAATTAATGCACATTGGAAAAATTAATCCAAACTATAAATACAATATGATGGGGTCTAATTTAAATACAACTACTCAAAAGAAAGATCTTGGAGTCATTGTGGATAGTTCTCTGAAAACATCCACGCAGTGTGCTGTGGTAGTCAAAAAAGCAAATACAATGTTAGGAGCCATTAAAAAGGGGATAGAGAATAAGACAGAATATCTTCTTGCCTCTATATAAAGTCATGGTACGCCCACATCTTGAGTACTGCATACAGATGTGGTCGCCTCATCTCAAAAAAGATATATTGGCATTGGAAAAGGTTCAGAAAAGGGCAACAAAAATAATTAGGGGCTTAG